TTATGAATGGTCCTCAAAATTCCAGCCGTTGCAGCACCTGGTCACGTGATCAAAATTTAGGTGCTTTCCAATCAGCTTGCATCCGTGACCGGTGTCACTGTCTCCTGCTCTCTACAAACTGTCTCTGCTTCAACTCCCTCTTACCTGACTGGATTCCAGACCAACCGCAGGAGGAGAAGATGGAAAAGATCAGCTGGAGGTGATGGCAGAGGTAGTTGGTGGATGGGAGGGCAGCCCAAAAGGTAGATAGGTTTGTGTGTGTGGGGGGGGGGGAATATAGTGGGTAGGGGGAGTTGAAGCAAGGGAAGTTCACACAGGGCAGGAGAAACATTAGGTCCTGCTCCAACAACTGCAACTGGCACTTCTGTTACTAAGTGACACAGTCACATGATGTTTTGCTTAACAACTGCTTTGTTTAGCAATGGAAATTCTGGTCCCAGTTAGGCTCGTAACTTGAGGAGTATTTATAGTGTGATTCAACTTTGCAACAGGTTTCTATTATAAGTTACACACTGGCAAGAAGCTTTCAGATTATCCGATTATATTGAATTCTGATAAATGTAACATCAAATACCTTTACTGACCAGCCTTTACAGTAGGAGAAGAGAAATAGTTTGGTACAGCAATTAATTATTGGGGGGAGAGGGGGGAAGAAAACCATAAGACCATAAAACAACATGTCTAATTAAAAGTTTAATGCAAACACAGACAGGGTTGCAAATTTTTAATTTGTTATATACCATTAACTACAGGAGCAATAATTTTAAATGAAATTATTGATATGACTGGATGTTACAGTTGTAAAATCTTTAAGCATGTACAAATTGAAAGCCTGGCTTACTTATACCCTCAACTATAATTAGAACTTTTGTTGCTAATAAGATAGACTGGCTATTTTCTTTGCCATCTATGGAGATACCTACATCATACAATCATCCCTCAGGTCATAAACTTTTATGTATTTTGCCCAGCCTGAGAGGTTAAGTGTCCACTTATAGGAATCTTAAGTATTATCTAAGGACTCCAACACCCCCCTCCCCATAATAAAAATCTAAAATAAAACCAAAACAGCAAGTAAGGGATGATTGATCACTTGACCTGGCTAATCTATCAGAGATATTTCTCTTTTCTTGTGGTGTCATCATCCCATGTGGCAATGGACTGTGCATAAATGAGTTATGTATTTACAACATAACATAGAAAAACATTAGAATAGCAAATAATCCAAATTCAAGTGGAATAGAAAACTAAAATAGGCTCCTTGTATTTTGCAAGTTACTACTAGCAAGAAAAGATGAATTGCACTATGTACTGTGTACATCACACACTATGCAGTGTTTTGGCAAAGGCGGAATTTCCCTTCTGTCCTTTAAGTAGAGACACAGTTTGGTGTAGTGGTTAAGGTGCTGGCCTAGAAACCAGAAGACTAGGAGTTCTAGTCCAGACCTAGGCATGAAAGTCAACTGTATGACTTTGAGCCAGTCATTCTGTTTCAGCCCAACCACCTCACAGGGTGATTATTGTGGGAAAAATAGGAGGAGGAAGTATTAGAAATATTCAATGCCTTCAGTTATTTATAAAGTCATATACAGTAGTGGCCAAAATTGTGGAAACCTTTTGGGAAAAGTGTATTTTTGAGGTTTGATGGCTAATAACACCACTTCTTTTTTGGAGTAGTACCATAAAATTATATATCAATGGAAAGATAATTTAATCAAGAATGTAATGCAACAAAGTTTGTTCAATTATCTGTACTGTATTCTATGAAACGTTACAGCCAAATAACCAGAAAAAGGAAGCACAACTTGCTTAGGTTGATATCAGGTAGCTTTCCTTCATCTGATTGTAGCCAATGAGCATGAGTGTTTAGAGAGCCAATCAGGTCTCATCTTGTTTTGGCAATGAGCCAATCAGATCACATTAGGATTCAGTTATTGATGTCATGTACTGAAGCTGAGAGGAGGACATTTGTCAGTGTGTTATGTGATCGCCCTCAAGTTGGTTGGGTTTTTTTGTGTTCTTTCATTTAGTGAGCTTGTAAAACGTAATACAATTAAAGTAATGGTGCAAAGAGTTGACTGGTTGCCCAGAAAGCGATGTAAAATAGTATTATTAAGTGAACAAGGCTACAGTTATAAAGAAATTAGAAGAAAAATTGGTGGAAACTTAACCAAAGGTGGCATTTCTATTGTATACTTTTCCCAAAAGGTTTCCACAATTTTGGCCACTACTGTAGGTGGGATAAAAATTCTAATACATACATACAACCAGAAACATGCTGTGTAGGCAAAAGGAGAACTATATCAATATTGTTTAACATTGTTTTTTGCAAGACCTAACATTTTTAGTACTAAACGTGTTCAAAAATGTTTCAGCTTGCAGTGGTAGTAGTAATAGTTACAGTAGTAGTAATAGTAGTAGAACTTCATAGATAGGATGTTAAATGTTTGCAAAAGGGTAATTGTGCTGAGCCAAACTCCAATGGGGATAATTGCTTCCTCCTTTGTCTCCTGCGCCCTCTCCACCAGTCACTCACTTAATTGCTCACCTGCTCATTGCTTTTCAATCTGTTAAGGTATATCACTTTTCCTCTCTACAAGCTGCACAAGGCAGTCTTTATTCAGTGATGTAATTACAGATGGGACAGACTAATCAGCTTGTAAGTTTGCCAGAGGCCATGTTCATTGTATAATCTTAGATAAATGGATTGCCTTGGCTCAAAATAAGAGCTTGGCTGATGGCCAATATTTGGGGTTAAGAATTATTGGCTACTGACAATATGGGAGGGGGGAGCAGATTAGAGGAAAGGAATGGGGAGGGGGCAGCAGAGGTAATCATTTATACTATTTCCTTCTCCTCTTTCAATCCATTGGGTAGAAAGGAAGGGGAGCACAATAGACGCCTGTTGCAGTGGGGTACCACAAGGCTCCGTCTTAGGCCCAGTACTCTTCAATATCTTCATCAATGACTTAGATGAGGGAATTGAAGGGGAACTCATCAAATTTTCAGATGACACTAAAGTGGCAGGAGTATCCAACATCCCAGAAGACAAGCTCGGGATCCAAAAAGATCTTGACAAACTTGAACAATGGGCTCTATCCAACAAAATGAATTTTAATGTGGAGAAAAGCAAAATTTTACATTTAGGAAGAAAAAATCAAAGCTATAAGTACAGATTAGGTGAGACCTGGCTCAAAAACAGTAATTGTGAGAGGGACCTAGGAGTCCCAGTGGACGATCACTTGACTATGAGCCAGCAGTGTGCGATAGCAGCAGCTAAAAAAGCTAATACAATCCTGGATTGTATAAACAGGCATAGAATCAAGATTACGAGAAGTATTAGTACCGCTTTATAAAATCCTAGTGAGGCCACACCTGGAATACTGTAACCAATTTTGGTCACCATACTACAAAAAAGATGTTGAGACCTTGGAAAAAGTTCAGAGAAGAGGAACTAAGAGGATCAAAGGCCTGGAGAAGAGACTGGACAGTCACTTGTCTGAAATGGTATAGGTTCTGCTGCCTGAGCGGCAGGCTGGACTAGAAGACCTCCAAGGTCCCTTCCAATTCTATTCTATTCTATTCTATTCTATTCTATTCTATTACAGCTTTATGAGGAACATTTCCCTTAATGTATATGTGTCTCAGTGGTAGCAAAGCCACGTGACTTTGGGACAATGTAGTTCAGTGAGAAGAGTTTGGCTTTGAACATTTATATAGTGTAGCAAATATTTCAAATGCTTCCTTACCAGTAGGGCATCAAGACTGAGAGGCTAATTTATGATATCTAAAATGCCCCAAAAGCAGCTTCTTTGCCTCTGGTGAATCTCGCGCTGGAGACTGCATATAATTTTAAAAGCCATTGTTTCCCATATCTATTTATTTTATTAACATATTGCCTGTAATTGAAATAGCTTAAATGAGAGGTTTTTAAAACTTCAAAATCTGTAAAATCTATTTAACAGATTTAAATGAATGAGCATGTGCGTGCGTGCGTGTATATACAGTATATATGTGT